GTATATTTGTGTGTAGGGCCCACCTCCTGTTTCTTTGTATAGTTGAGGTTGTGGCCCACCTCTGTACTTATATATACGTGTCTGGTGCACCGATCAATACATCGAGATTGCACAGCCCATAACTTGTCCTTCTACAGTTACAGCACGAAGTTGTTCAGAACTTTCTTGACCAGATGCTCCCCATACACCACCTTGTCGTACTTGGCAACGCCACCCGTTTTCTCCCGGCATAGCTCCGCGGGCTCAACCACGGCATCGAAGTTTGACTGTATATGTGCGACATAAGAAAAGAATTTGAGTACAAAAGGCCGCATGCATAGAAATGGTTGGTTTTGCTAACCTAACAAAAAATTATTTTCCTTTTGTTGATGAATAGATACCTCGTAAAAGAAGGCAGCAGATACACGGTAATGAAGGGAGTCGTTGAAAACTCTATGGAGTGTGGGCTGATATATTCCATTAGACCAAACCTAAAACCATATCAGTACGATAGTCAGCAATGAGCATTTTTTTCCCACACAGAAGTTGGAGTAGGATCAAGCATGTTTCATGTTTTGGAGGAGACTAACCTCTAGCATGTCACCAATGTTGCACACAAAGGTTCCAGGGACTGGCTTCGCCTGTATCCACTCGCCAGACAGGTTTCTGACCTGACCATAATATATAGCAAAGAATTTTTGAAGCTTTTTTTTCTCTTGATGATAGTGCACGCAGAGGGAACAAACCAAAAAAAATATGCAAGATGTATATGACAGTGGTGTGTTAATGAAGAGACAAGTACCTCAAGAGCACAAATGTCATCATCTTGGTTAACCAGTGTCAAAAGGCCTACAGTTTAACAAAATGGTGTTACTAATATTTCCTATATAAACTGCAAGACCCTCCACTGATGTTGGGAGGCAACAAAAATGCAGAAAGTATATGATTTTTCAAAGAAGTAAGCAAAGTATACTAGTCCAACTGACCGTAATCCGTGTGAGCTCCACTGAATTAGCCACATAATGCATGAACAGAGAAGAAAAGCAGAGTGAGATTTATCCACCCAAGTGAGCAGAATTTGTGCAGAACATACCAGAAAACATCAATGGTTTATTTATTTATTTTTGCTTACCATCCAGTATCAGTGCGTTGCTCCTGTGGAATACTAGCTGGGGCTGGATACCCAATCAGCCTGAGATACCAGAAGGGATCTCCCGCCGTTCCGCCTTGGAAAGCATCCGACGGCGCACCTAGTGCCAAGGCTATACCTCGCATGATCTTCCTTGAAAGATCTGCAAAGGAAAAAATGGCATGATAAGCATCACTAGTAATGACCACAATCACACAAGAGCAATTGGAGTAGTTAACATGGAGCTGAGTGGGAATTTCTCCCCATCACCCACTTTGACCAATCAAAAAAATAATGAGCTGAGTGGTCATTACTAGTGAAGAAAAATATCAGCCCACGTCGCCGGCCATGCCCGGATCGTCGACCTTCTCCACGAGCGCGCTCATGTCTGAACAATGCGTGCGGAGTGTAGATGAGCAATTACTTACCGGTTGATTCACGGGCTGTTTGATTGACTGGTAGCGTGCCTACGTACCGACGAGCGGGATGGCCTTGAAGTCGGAACCCATGCTGAACGCTGCCGGTGGTGCTGGCCGGCGGCGAGGGGAGAGTGGAATGTAAACGATCGACGCGGCTCCGCGTGCGACCTGCGCTCCTTATTAGCTCCTGTTCTAGCACATGCGTGGTTGGGTAATTCAAATCAGATCGGGGGACGTGGCTCCGGTCCGGAAAGATTCCTTGAATGATCGGCGGACATGTGTACCCAATTCCCTCGGCTATTTAGCATCTGCATCCCTGCTGATCTAACCGTGGATAAATGGAGGGGTGTGAATGTGTGTGATGTCTTTCGTAGAAGATTGCACCCCTCCCCTTCTTGTCTTGATGATATGTGGCGAGAGCAGAACATCCCATTTACTGTTGGATCTGATCGGATAGGCTGGGCACCTGGGCCTAGCAGTAGGTTCTCCACGGAAATCTATGTACAAAATGCTTGAGAGTAATATCGCAGGCTGCGATTAAAGATGGATCTGGAATGCTAAGATGCCTTTCAAGATGAAAATCTTTTTTTGGTAGCTATTTCAGGACGCTGTCTTGACGAGAGATGTCATGACAAATGAAAGTGGCATGGTAACACTATTACACCAGGTGTTCTTTTTGCAACGAGCGTGAGACGTCTCAGCATTTGTTTTTTCTGTGTCTTGTGGCAAGGGTGATATGGCGTTCGGTTGGAGCAGTCTTTGGGACTTTGTTATGCCTGGCAATATTATTATTATTTTTTGGTGCTTTGTGTTTTTACCTAATGGAGCCAGATTCTTCACCTTTGGATTGGCAGCGATCTATTGGGCCATTTGGAACAGCAGGAATCGGGCCACTTCTGATCGAGTTTAAGCTGTTGAGAATAGCAACTTGTATTATTAGGAGGCCAAAGCCAACATATATACACATACATGAGGATGCCAAAAGGCTACAAGAGAATGTCAAGAGACTAGAATGTGAAAGGCCAAAGGACATCAATAC